GTGCTAATTTATTGGCCTATAACTAGAGAGTGCTCAGCATTTCCCATTCACATATCTCTGTTCAAACCTACAAAAAGGAGCTTGTGCTGCTTCTCACAACCTTGGTATTCTAACAATCAAAGAATTTGTGACGATTAGGGCACTGGAATAGCAATGAAACCCCGAGGCCCTTGATAATTTCTTATGCCAGGAATGATCCATGTCTATACAGTTTAAGCAACAAAGTAACAACCACCTGTTTACTTTTGCCTTGCAGAACATGCATGCCCCCCTAAAGCCCAAAGGAGCTTCACAAAAGTAATGGCCGTTTCATGCAAGTCTGAAATTTAGCTACGTTTCTCCCTGTGAACACCCAAACATTATAGGAGTCCTGTTAAGTTTAATGTAGCTAACTTTATGAAGCAGCTACAAACACATGCACACTGGATCTACACGAGCATAATTAATACATCCACACAGTGCATTTCAGGACACTGAATTCCCATGACCCATAATCATTTGTTATCCACCTGGTACCATGGTATTGCACCTAGACCCTGATCTCCCTTTCTCTGCAAAGGAAATCTCAACGGTTGCGTGCATTGTTATTTATCTTTTTCCTACTTATGCCGTGTAAGTTGGCTGCACTCAGAAGTTATTTATCTGGCAAAATTGAGAGTTCCATGCTTTTGGTCAAGTGGTAGGGGTGGTGGCCTTCCTGTGTTTCCAGGCTCAGGCAGGCAGCTTCCCTTCCTCCTTTCTTTTATTGTTCTGCTGTGATGGGTCTTTTAATCAATACAAATATTGTTCAGTTTTAGCCTGTAGTACTGGACTCCTCTCTTCCCCCCTCACTTCACTCCTTTATACCTGGAACTTTTCTGATTAAACCTAAAGTCTCCTCCTTTCACTGGAGGAGCAGCCAGTCACAGCTTTCATTACTAACGCGACGAGATTCACTGCTGGAAATAGAGATGGCTAGCCTCTTAATCTGAAGACAGGCAGAAGGCAGTTGGTTCAGAGAGGCATGCTGGAAATACTGTTTACTTTAGGTAAACTGTACCCACTTAACAAATGGCAGAAAGGATGGATGACACCTCTCAGCTGGCACAGCTGCTCAAGGAAAGATAATCAATTTGAAGCTCTGAGTTAGCATGATTATGTTGCTCCATAGTGAGAAAAGGGGTATAAGCGTTTCCAAATTGGGATGGACTGGTTGTGCAGCTACCTGGTAAATGTAATTTATGCATTTATTTATTTATTTGATGTATATGCTGCCCTTCCTAAGGGTCTTAAAAACCAATGTTTGGTGGGGAGTAGAAGACTGCAGAAACAGTGATCAGCAATACAGAAATGAACAGGAGAAAGAATATAATGAAGTGTGCTGGCTGCTAGACTTTGAATGGGTCAATTTGTTTAAGTGCCTGCTTGTTGATTAGGTCATTTGATCCCCATCATTCTTCTGGGGAAAGCTCAGGCTGAAATACTTATCATTAGAAGATGTAAATCACATGGGGAGAATATTCTGTGTTTGTAAAGCGTCAGCACAATGGCCTTCCTTCTTTCTTGGACCCCAGGCACTGTTGTAACAGCCATGACCAAGGACCTTGTGCTTATATTAAAACAGGAACAGCGTGCAAGGGGTTGTTGATGTCATATAAGTGCCCAGTTGTACAACGGAGGAACATGAACTTATTTACCCAAAAAAAACAAAAAAACCACAAAGGTTAACTGAAGTATCATAAGTGATAGGTGGGCAGGAAGGTGAGACTGGAAGGGATTGGAAATAGAGGCCTTAAACAGACTTTGTAATTTCTGTGGTTTCTTCTGCATAAGAAAGTTATGCTAATTTAACATCAATTGGTTTTAATTAAAATTAGTTAAATGAGTACAAATCCCAGTGGGTGCACCTACAACTTCATTAATGCAACATCATTACACTGCATTAAATTTAGTACCTGTAATGACAGGTACTAACTTAATACATCATAATCGGCACTACTACGCATTAGGACAGATGATTTTTTTTTTAGGATGCTACTGTGCATTAGACTAAATTGACTGCACATTCGCAAGGGCTATGTCCGCCATGCTAATGTGCAGAATTAGTCTCCTGCACATTGCCTCACGTAGACACACTGTGCAAAGTGGGAACTCCCTGACTAGTAGGGCTGTGCGAAATGGCACCGTTCTGTTTTGCCTTGAGTTTCGACGGTTCGATGGAACAGTGTTTCATCTCAAATTTCAAGTCAAAACAGCTGTTCTGTTCTGTTTTGAGTTTTGCTAGATTGCACCAGGGCAGGAGGCAGCCCAGCTGGCCTGCCTCTCGCCCCCGGTGTTGTAGTGCAGGGAACTGGGAAGCAGCCCACCCCTACACTGCATCCCAAACCTCACAGAGGTTCTTGACAGCTGAGCTCTGCTCTGGCCTGAGGCTGGGCTCAACTCATCCCAGACCCTCTCGCTCTCTGCCCTATTACAGGCTACACTCATACTGCCTCCCTCTTACTGAGGCCTATGGTTTCATAGTTTGATAGTTTGTAGGGTCGGAAGGGACCTTGACAGATCATCAAGTCCGACCCCCTGCCGTGGCAGGAAAGAGCACTGGGGTCAAACGACCCCAGCCAGGTGTTCATCTAGCCTCCTCTTTAAGACCCCCAGGGTAGGAGCCAGCACCACTTCTCTTGGAAGTTGGGTCCAGATCCTAGCCGCCCTGACAGTGAAGTAGCACCTCCTGATGTCTACTCTGAATCTACCCTATGCCAGCTTGTGACTGTTATTTCTAGTCACTCCTGGTAGTGCTCAGGGGAACAGGGACTCCCACAATACCTGCTGGTCCCCTCTGACTAGTTTGTAACAGGAGACTAGAGCCCCTGTCAGCCTTCTCTTGTGGAGGCTGAACGGGTTCAGGCCCCGTAGCCTCTCCTCATAGGGCCTGCCCTGCTGCCCCCACCTCTCCCACTCCACCACCTCTCACAAGGTCTCTCTCATACTGCCCCTTTGTGGGGCCACTCTCATACCACCCCTCCTTTTCCCCGGACCACACTCACCCTGCCCTCACCCAAAGGGTCCTGGGGCTCGTTTCCACTGAGGCCCATACTCTGCCCTCCTACGCTGGGGCATGGGGTCATACACATACCTCACAGGCTCAGGTGGCTGCAGGCACACCTGGCCCCAAAATACCTCCCATGTTAATTGACCCACCCGAAGGTGGGGGCTGGGGTTTAGGCGTGCCTACTCACCTTCCACCAGGGTGGTAACTGGCCTGGCATTTCTGGGGGCTGTTCTGCCACAAACAACCCCACCAGGCCACCCATCCCCAGCAGGGTGCAGTGTTAGGTCTTGCCCAGGACTAAGAGCCTCCTAACCATCCCCATCAGCTCTTGCCTTTACCTCCTGGTGTTACCGGAGCAGCAGCTCCACCAGAAGATGTTGTTTCCTCAGTGCCAGGTAGCAGAGTGCTGCCTCCAGCTCGGCTGGCCTGAATCTTAAAGTGGCCACTTGGCAGAGCTGGATCGCACCTGCCGGCTCTTACGGTGACAGACACCAGAGGTGCTCTGCCACACACCTCTCCCCCTAGAATAGTTCCTGGGGGCGGTTCCCCCTGCTGCTCTGTCAAAACAGGCTCCCCTCAGAGCTTGTGAAAGCCCTTGAGTGGTGAATACCCCCAAAGGTGCTCCACCACACACACGTACTAGTGTGAACACCTTGTGCTTCATCTTAACCCACTCACTCCCTAACCAGAATAATCCTGGATTAAACTGAAATGCAAGGATCCGTACAGCCTTTGCACAAAGCCAGCTGCATCACTGGGACAGGGCTGGGCCCCAGCTGCCCTCAAGTGCTTACAGCAGCTGTCACTATTCGCTGCATTTGATGCTCCTTTAGCAAGACTGCGAAAGCCAGTGAAGCACCCTGAACACAGAAAAGAGTTTCTTCAGAGGGAGCATGGGCTTGATTGACAAACAGCCCCAAACATGAGGTTCCACAGGAGAAGTCATAAAAATCATAGAAAGAAATCTTGTCCCTAGATGGAGTCCTTCCAGCTGGCCACCTGCTCCCTCCCCATATGAACCAAAGGCTCTATGGATGAAAGGGAAATCAGACAGTTGACTTCGATCAACACAGTAGTATCAAAGCACACACCCAGTTCTGGTTCACGTGATTAAACAGGTGATGGGAGAGGAAACCTCTGGCGAATCCCCCCAGTTCCACACAAACACTTCTCCGAGCCCTGAGCTCCATACTGATGTACCAGTCGTACAAAGAGCCAAGTGACTCCACTGCAGAGTTGCCCTGACACCGCGGTAGTGAGGGGCAAAGGGCGCCGTTTCAGTCCTCCCCCTCCCAGCAGTGAGGCTGGGCTGAGCTGAGCATAGAGCCAGGCCATGACACTCGTCCCCTAAGGAAGGAGGGGGAAGGTCCTGCGTAGAGGGGGGCTCTGAGGTGTGGGGTGCGCTGTGGGTCCTGCCCAGAGAGACCTCAGGGTGCTTGCAAGGCTGGGCTGCTGAGGGCTCCCTCTCTGCGCCCCGGCCCCTGGCATGAGGCCGAAGTTGGGTCCTTCTTCCCCCTCCCTTTTTCAGAGCTAATCTTTACACAGTCAGAGCTTGTCAGCAGTAAATGAGATGCTCAAGCGTTAGGGTGTCATCCCCAACGCGTTATTTACTAACCAAAAAAGTTCAATAATAGCCCGTAGTGTCAGGTGCAGAGCCTTGATTCCGGAGCTGAGGTCAGGCTGGGACCAAAGCCTTCCCCGGCCACCCGAAGCCGGAGGAAGCGGGACTAACTAAGGGACCAGCTTCAAGTTGAGGCCGTCCCGGGGGGCGGGGGCGAGGGACGCGCTGGACGGGGCGGGAGGGGACGAGGCAGCTGCAGCGGCCGCGCCTGGCTCGGCCCCAGCG